AGGATGTGCCAGTGGATGCACTATATTATCTTCCTATGGACAGGCTAATCCATTATCAGTCTTCTTGCAGCAAGAGTGAAACGCTCGTATTAGGGCAACTGTGCGTTCAGAGGCATCATTCAGGACAATGAGCTATAGCAAGAGAGTGACAAGGTAGAAAAATGTCCCCACTTTTCAGGCTGTACAAATGACGTTTGGCCACGATAACTCACAACTGGACACTTCATTTCAAGTTGGGAGCTAGCTGGCCAGTCAAAAGCTATTATACCATCTTCTTTATTTGTGGTCCACGGTTTTGGTAGTGGGACCATCAAATAAATACTGCTAAAATGCCACTTCAGTCAAAAATATTGGCCAATTCTTTCTCGTTCGTGACTGGGTCCGGATGACAACCTGTTTCTGATGGTATAAACCTTTAAGAGTGAGGTGGTGGGTATGATGGCATCCATCATACTCAGCAACACCATGAGTTAGTGCTGGATACATATGCAAGTGAATGAGACTGACCAATGCTGCCAGTCCCTTGCAGCCTTTCTTTGAGCACAACAGTCAAATGAATTGATTACCAATTTATCATTGGGGGAATTGCTTGCTTAGAGGAATAATCACTCAGCGATAAAGAAGAAATGGCTATGAATACATTTCAAGGATGACAATCTTTGAGGAGTAATAGTATAATTTGTCACTTGTGACAGTCTATTTGATTGTTCTGGATATTTCAGCTCGGTGGAATATTGGACAGAATCACTCCAGTTTGTGAGATTCGGGCTAAGATGTGTGTGAATTTGTCGAGAGGTGCTTTAATACGGTAATAAGGGAGTCAGAAGAACACGCTTAGACTTCCTAAGGTGGCAGCGGCTTTATCACGCATCGCCTCATAAAGTCCCATCATATCTGTTCGCCACTATTATCAAATGGGTGTTTAGTGTGCTTTTGTGTGCCTGTGTGTGGGTGTGTGAAAGAGAGAACACCAGAATGAGTGAACGGCCTCAATTGTGTCCACGAGCTGTGGGTGACGACATTAAGACACAAAAGGATCGGCACAAAACGTGAGTTGATCCCAGCTCAAGGCGAAAATACTGTAGGATCACAAAGATTTTTGAGGTTTTGTAAGAAAAATAAGCCCATCCTCCCCACTGAACTGAAACATTTCTCTTTTTGTTCATATTCTCTCCTGCAGCCCAGGCAGCTATGGTCAAACTTGGGTCAATAAAGTGTCTGTCTGTCCATTGAGTTGCCACATCTATCAAAAGATGAAAGTTTGTCTTTAAAGGAGAGATAGAATTCAGTGAGGAGAAAGTGGGACCTTTCTGTGAGGCATGCAGGAAATTAATCAAGGAAATGGGGTTTTTGGTGTGCCTATATCAAATCTAATCTATCCTTTGTCCACATGTAGCTAGCTCCAAGCCTCACCAATCAAGAGCGACACGCTGGTTTTATGAAAAGCCACTTGTTCCCTGCATAATTGGGGGGTCTCACTGCTGAGTTAAATGGGCGGTGGAGGTGGAGGGAGAGGCAGTCTTGTTTGCCCATGTAAAGTGTGATCCAGATAATAGCATTCTCATCAAAGGCGGCAATTACATTCATTACAACAGCGCAAGGCGCGCCTGCAAGGAAATTAAGTGGTGAGAGGAAAGAAAAGCTTAATATATACCTCCTTTATCCTATCCCCCACCTCTTAGTTCTTTTTCAAATGCTCCACGTGGAGCGGGAGACCTCAAGAAAGAAACAGTCTCAGTAGAAGAAGAATAAATCTCGTCAAAGTCCCCCTTCACCTTTCTCCCTCCAAGAGGCTCCCGTCTACCGTTACTATGGCTGCACTTGTCTAGGATTAAAAAGCTTTTCCAGAAGGGTGATCTCTAATGCAGCTCTTACACAAGCCCAACAAATGACACCAAGTCTTAAAAAACTGGTCAAGGCCTTCTCTAAATTAAATTCCAATTTCTTTCAGGAGAGGAAGAGCAAATTAATTGTCCCGTGTGGCATTAAACCACAAACAGCCTGTAAATCAAGCGGTTAAGAGGAGAAGGGAACCTTTTCATTCAGGCCTTTTAAATGTGAATCAGAGTAAGTGGATAACACTGCAGCCTTCTCAAAGGCAGGTGTTATCCCGGCGCAAATTTTACATGTGGCAGACTGTGTATATTCAAACTCACTCATATAAATTAGATTAGTCATGTAAAGGCTTTGAGTTCAAGTCAGACCTTTAGAAAATGTTAAGTATATGAGTGATTGTGATTCAAATAGACCAAAATTTTGATGTAGAATCCATGTGTCTGTTTGTACAATGTTTGACAGTAAGCTTCAACACATCCTTTTACATAGGAAAGTCATATAAAATCACATACCATGTGTAAATGTAAGTCCAAATAAACTCTATTAGAGTAGTACCTGCTGTCAGTCTTATAATACATTGCTCACTGTTGAGCATTTCATTAATGCAAAATTAAGTTTGAACCTTAAGTATTTTTAGACTTAATAAATTACACCTTCAAAGTGAAAGGCCTCATTGGTTCTAACTTTAGGAAATGTTTAGCAGGAAGTACAACACAAGATTATTGCTTCACTAATTGATATGGCAGGAATTAAAAACAAAACTACTGAAACAAATGAGAGCACAGAGAAGTGCGCACTTTGTCTTTTGGTGGCGACAAATCATTGTGGCTGCGTGTAAATTATTCAACAGGATCAGGCCCCAGAGGAAACCTGAGCATAATTAAATTGCAATAAAATAACATTAGTGTGGACAGGCTGTTAGAAGGTGATGTAATTGGCTGCTCCGGTGGTCATGGTTCAACTGATGAGGTCGACTCTCATGTCTTCCGCTGGTCCTGTTCGTGCTGTCCCTGGGACTGGGAGCTGACGCACACTGTAGGGTACTGTACACTGAGCTTCCCGTGCCTGGGCACAGCTTTGAGCTGTAATCTGCGTAAACATGGCGAATAAAATGAACTCTGGACTTGTGAAGATTACTGTGTTTGCTTTGTATGTTGCGTCACGTGGAGTACTTTTGTTTAAAAACTGCATGCGGTTAAATGAGAATGGAAAGAACTTATTTCACCACTGAGGCATGTGCACCACCTAGTGTCCAAATTGTTAAACTGTATTTACATGTTTCCAGGCAATAGCACATGCAACCAAATGCACATCAAAAACCATTATATTATCGTGTTTAAATACTCTTACTTCTCTAAAGTGACTCACAGACACACCATACTCCTTATAAAGAATACAGTACTGAGTAACTCATGTTACAAAGGGTTCACCAGCAACAGGTTTACATTACTGCTGCAGTACTAATGGTCTGACAGTAGTTTCAACATGGTAAAAGGATACAGTGGTCTCACTCTACTTTGGTCATTTATTATCTTCTCTTCAGTGGTTCTTCTACAACTTTGACACAAATGGGGGAATGTGATCTTCATTAGGCGCGTACTAGTAAATTATTGATTGTGATGAAACATGAATGAGTCGATAGCTTTTGACAGTATTGCAGTTGCTGTGCCTCATTTGCCTCTTGCGCATAACTGCAAGATGTATATGTGAAAATATGCTTTGACATGGATTTGAATGGACAGGCTATCTTTTAACTTTTTTTTAGCTTATGGCAAGAGATGGGTGTTTCATATCAACATGACAGTGTGCTTGAATAACAACTGTACTGGGAAATAACAACACAATTATAGGATTTCTTTTTTTTTTTAAATCCTAAGCATTTTTAAGTAGCTATCAAGATATCTAAAACAAGGTTTTATAGTACTGTGCAAAAGCCTTCAGCTACCTCCAGTTTCTTTGTATTTGTCTTCCAAGTTTCCAGACTTGAATGAGTAATACATTTTTTTTTGTTTAAGCCACCTAACTGACCTATGAGTCATTCATAAAAATCCATTTACCTCAAGGGATAATACAGTATTGGGTCTTCACATAACAGACAACTTAGTAATGACCCAGTTTTAAATTTTATCTTTAGGTACTTACTACCAGCACAGTGTTAAAAACATATAATTTGTTTCTATTTCTTTAGTTGAATCAATCAAAATGCCAAAGATAACACAGTTTGAAAAGCATAAGGTCATTTCCTGGCATATCTTAACATGGTGTGTGTCCTTCAAAAGCAAGGGTCTCCAGCCATCTGTAAAATATGCTAGAGGTTCTGTCATGTTTTGGGGCTGCATTTAAGCCAGTGGTCTGGAGCATCTTCTCAAAATTGATGGAATTATGAATACAGTGGCATCAAATTTTAATCCAGCTTTCAATGCAATTTAGAAAAAGTATGATTGGCAATGGATTAATTTCTTGGCATAACAATAATTCAAAACACGCTGATAGTGCAGTAAAAGCATACACTGAGAAGCAACATTTCCAGCTTACTTCGTTTTTCTAAGTTAAATGACTCAAATAAATTGAGTTGATCAGCTTTTTTTGAATAAAAAGTACTGGTAACTTACTTAAATTGAGTTCTAATAACAAACAGTTCAGTCTACTTAATATTTTTAATTAAACTCAATATTAGATTTTACAGTGTATCTACATAGAAAAAACACACACATGCACAAAAGAACAATTTCAGTCATGGTTTGGCCTCCCCAGAGCCTGAACCTCAATATTACTGAAGCAGTGTAGGATGATCTTGATAGAGAATGGAACAAAAGGCAAGCAAGCTCGAAAGAAAGACTTTTAATGTCTTTTAAGAAGTCTGGAGAACTATTCCTGGAGACTACTTAAAGAAACTACAAGAGAGCTGGTCTAAGAAAGTTCAAGCTATGGTGAAGAAAGAAGTTAGTCATACCAAATATTGACTTTCAAGATCGTTAGAATTGCACAAACTCTGTTTTTTCCTTATATACTCAAATTCCGTCTATGTTTGCTCTTAATTCAGTAAATTGCTGAACATATTTCACATTTTCCTAGGAATTCTCAGAGAGCCTGAATCATACTGCCTGCACGTCACGTCAAACCGTAAGCTGTTTTCTCCTAAAAAAAAAAAAAGTACAACTAGCTCGACAAGAAGCTACGGTGGCCTCTTGTATCTGTAACTAACATATCACGCGTTCCTGGGTTTGTTAGAGCTTTATTCGTAGGAACTCTCGTTTTACACCGTAGCTGTGGCAGGAGGGTTTTTGCGGACGAACACAGAGTGAACTTTAACCCCGGTAAAATGGGCTATTGTTTTGATTTAGTAGGCTTCTTTTTCGTGTGAATAATTACTAGTTTGTCGATAGAGGGAAACATTTAATCGCTCCGGTATTATTGAGGATCTAGTTAAGCGTAAATGATGACCAGAAATCCGGGGTAGCTCTTTAACAGAGATGCTTTCTTCAAGATAAGCTAAAGTTAGCTTTTCGGCTAATGTAGCGTAGCGTAGCTTTGGTAACAACATCGCGAAGATGAGGAGCACCGTGTAGGACAGACGGAGCAGACGTCGGAAAGCGGCGATTTCCTGCTTGTCAATCATATTATCCCAGGGTTATCCTGTCTGTGTGTCTGGATTACCACAAAACAGAATTTCAGATCAAACCCATCGAAACATTTAAGTCGTTGTTTTAGCTTTGAAGAGGTGGGTGTGCTTCTTTTAAAATCCGCTAGCTGATGATGGTCATGCTTTGACTTTTTCAAATCCGGTTGTTTTCCTGTAATCTTTTACTTAAACAGTTCAGAAAATTGTTCTTCCGACCTCGCGTGTCTTCGTCTTTGCTGGTCAGTAACACGTGTCTGAACGTCTTTTTAGTGTTGGACCTTTGCATCACTCGCACATTCTTTCGATGGGGGAGGAAAAACCGGACACGCTGGACTTTGTGAAGGATTTTCAGGAGTATCTGAGCCAGCAGACTCAACATGTCAACATGATATCAGGCTCTGTCAGCGGCGTCAAGGAGGCGGATGAGCTGCCAGCAGGTAACAAGAAGCTGTGTTTGTAACGCTCTATTAATTTTGTGTGCTTTGTGGTGAAGTTTGAATCAGGATGAGTCCATCTCAAATCCCCGTAGGCCTTCTGCTCGACCATCTCAGATATGCCTAAAAACCTTATGGTTCAAGGATTGGACATATACAATTATTGCTGTGAAATTTTAGCTTCATTTATTAAATAGTTTTGAAGATTTTTTTTTTAAAAGGCCCAACGAAAAAAAAAACAAAAAAAATAAAAAAAATTAAATTAAATTTTTACTTCTAGTTTGAGCAAATATGACAGGTACTACAAAAGATTTAAAAAAAATACCAGTAGATGTTACTGTCCATGTAGAACAAAATCTTTGCATTTCCAGATGGTGCTGTATAACTGACAAGGTAATTTTGTTGAATTATTTTGATATTAATTTTTTTTTTTCAAGACCTACCGCACAAGGACAAGTCCTTCCATTCAGGTGAAGTTTAAATTGTATCAACTCAGCAAGTACCAGTGTAAAATCTGTAAAACAACTATGAGGGATTAGTAATTGATTTCACGTAAGTAGTGCAAAGCCAAGATGCTGTTGACACTGGAAGTCCAATACAAGACCCTAACCCCCTACCCCATCCCAAACCCTAAAACTGCCACAACTGCTGCAGGCAAGCAGGGTCAGGAAGTTATTGTTATTTTGTATGTATGTATTTATTTATTTTTGGTCTATGTAAAAAATCATTTTAATTTTCCTATAAGCAGACTGCAGTCAGAATGGACTGGATCACCCCTCAGTGGACATGTCATTGGAGGACAACTCAGGGATCCTGGTAGATGGTTTCGAGAGGACCTATGATGGCAAGCTCAAGTGCCGCTACTGCAACTATGCTACCAGAGGCACAGCACGGCTCATTGAACACATTCGAATTCACACAGGTAAGATTAAAACGGCTAATCTCCAGGAGGTAACACTGATGAGATTTTGGTGCTCAGCTTGTTTTCTTTTGAACAGGAGAGAAACCTCACCGCTGCCACCTCTGCCCATTTGCTTCGGCCTACGAGCGTCACCTGGAGGCCCACATGAGATCGCACACTGGCGAGAAACCTTACAAGTGTGAGCTGTGCTCATTCCGCTGCAGCGATCGTAGCAACTTGTCACACCATCGCCGGAGACGTCACAAACTCCTGCCAATGAAAGGCGCCCGCTCACTGTCCCATAAGAAGATGCTGAGTGTTTTACAGAAAAAAGCCAGTTCATTGGGCTATGGCCGCAGGCTCCTTATCAATTTCAGCCCCCCTTCTATGGTGGTGCACAAGGCTGACAATGTGAACGACTTCTCCCATGAGTTGCCCCACTTACGTCAGGAAACCTATGATAATCAAAGTCGAGCAGGCGAGGACGCTCTCTCCGCAAACCAAAATCACCATCACCATGATATGGTCGTGGATAACCCCCTGAACCAGTTGTCTACTCTGGCAGGCCAGTTGGCCAGTCTCCCCTCAGAGTCCCAGCCCCAGACTCAGCCTTCGATGTCTCCAGGAGCAGAGTCTATCATTGATGAGAAGCCATTCCTCATCCAGCAGCCACACCCTGCCACGGCTCCTGTTGCTGTGACAGCCAATATGGCCCATGCTTCTTCCTCATCCCCAATCCCCCCAGAACCCCGGGCTCCTCCCCACAGTAATTGCAGTCCTGGAGCGGGACCGTGCAGCGAGCACAGTGGGCGCACCAGCACCCCTAGTATCTCCAACAGCCAGCCCAGTACGCCAGCTCCCGGCCTGTCCGCCCCACTTCAGGACCCCCACATGCTGCATCACTGCCAGCACTGTGATATCTACTTCCCTGACAACATCCTCTACACCATTCACATGGGCTGCCATGGCTACGAGAACCCATTCCAGTGCAACATCTGCGGCCACAAGTGCAAGAGCAAGTACGACTTTGCCTGCCACTTTGCACGCGGGCAACACAAGTAATGGATGAATGAGGAAAACTTTAAAAGAACTTTTAATGGACCCCTATGTTTTATTATTTCTATAGTAATATTATTTATTTATCTTTCATTTGGCCTTTATGTAGCCTTGTCTTTGAAAGTTGTACTTAAACAGGAAAATAGCAACATTCAGATGAATTTTGTATAGTTAAAGGTGCCCATTCAAGTGTATTACAAAGGGATGGTCAGTGTTTTTAACAGGTTGAGAATTTATTTGTGACAGCAGTTGCAGTGACATTCACCTACTGTCATTGATCAGGAAAAAGCTTGACTATGTAGTGAAATGTAAGACACTTTATTCAAGGCTACTAAATTTACCATGTTGGTTTCAATCTTCTTTTTCCTTTGGTATAAAAAAGAAAAAGAACTTTGCTCAAAGTGGACCTTTCCCCCACAGGCAAACAGATCAGATTTTTTCTACAAGGTAAAACCAGTGACTGCTGAATGAATAACTTTCAGCTATTTGGCAGTTTCTTGTAGATGATCTTTTAATGTTGCATTTGGGAATGGAACAGGTGAAACGCTGCAAGAATGAGGCAACATAGGATTTTGAAATTGATACCCTGGGTGTATCCTGCAAAAAATCCCAGCTCCCATCCCAGTGACATTGACCTTAAGGTCAAGGTCAGACGTCAAGTTTCAAAACTTGAAAGAGGCATCTTACAGGATGAGGGGTAACACTGACAGCACCCAGTTTTCAGTGTTGTATTCACTGAAATCTCTGTAAAGAGTACTGCATAATTTTTGCTTGCTTGCCAAGAGAGTGAAAGAGGGAAGGTCTACTAGAATATCAAATCTGCATTAACAACATGTCCCTTTCCCAAAATTGGAAAGTTGCAAAAAAAGAAACTCCACACAAATAAATTCTCAATACTCCTGGAGCTTTAACCAAGTATTGCTCTAATATTACTAACTCAGGAGTGACACTGTTGGCCTTGAGGTATCTTTGTTAAGCCGCCTTGTAGAAATTATTTCAGTGCTTGGTGCATTTTTACAATTTCTTTGCAGTGCCTGATATAGTCACTTTCTTGAGTAGATAGAAAGGACTGTTACTTTGAAGATGAATAGATTTATTGTTACACTAGCCTCTTCTTATTGTAACCAACAGACCCAGAACCTTAGGAAAAAAAAGTTTGGCCATTGTAGTTTTCTATGGTAGCCATGATTTATTTTTTGATTTTTTTGCCAAAATTCTGCTACATGAATGCTGCTAACTAATGTAAGAATCAGTGCCAGCTGTACTATAAAGATGGCATTGAGAGTAAAATCTGGCCAAACTGTGTATCACTGGTTTTTGGTCAGCCAGCTAAGTTGTCAACCTAGACCATATTTGAAGTTGTTGTTTTGAAGTTCCTCCAGAGAGTGCCGTTTCCCGAAATCCATCCTAGTAGCTCCACTTACTTTGTCAGAAGGGTTTTGTGGACCCTTTTAACTGCATCATGTCACTTTCTGACCTTTCGATATTGTATGAAGTCACTTTAATATCCAGTATCTCCATGTTTAGGACAGAATTACAAAGTCTTGTGTCTCATGTGAACACGTTCAGAATGGCCACGTAGCACTGGGTTGCCACGTTTTAGCCTCTGTGTTTACACACGCTGAGATTTCCAATTCATCATATTGATCCCAGTGATTTTTCTGAATATTTACTGAGTATTGTATTCTGAATGGTTGGATAGATGTTCAGTGTCGAGCAAAACCGTGCCGCAGTTAAGACTGCTCCTTTAGCGAGATTGTCCTGTGTCTTGGGTACTGTTGTCTGTTGCTTAGCAACATGTGTGAAGAACATAGTTATCTGTTTTTAGGACCACCTTGTTACCTTACTTACCAGTAATGGGGGCATCCAGTAATGACTGCCTTATGTTCTCTCATTGTGTCGTAGGTTCGTAGGTAATCGTGAATGTTTAAGCCTTCTGGCGGTGACATCCCTCTGGGATGGTGAATCATTGTGAGATGGATTAATCTAACTAATTTATAAGTAAAGTGTTTTCTAACTGAGTTGTGGTATGTCTTCTTGTTTTTGTTTCGTTTTTTGTTTGTTTTGTTTTCAAGAACAAAAATCAACCACTGTCCTTTTATTACAGGATCATGACAGTTGACATAATGAACAAAAACACATATTGTCTTTTGATGATGCCTTTATTCATGTAATGCAAGAAAAGGAAAAAAAAGAAAGGGTGGATAATATTCAGTGTTAGAGTGAAGGCGTGAAGAAGAGGGAGAGAAGTGGAGAAGATTTAAGTTTCTTTCTGCTCATCATTCGCATCTTCCTTTTTCTCAGGGTCTAGAAATAAAAAAATTAAAAAAAGTAAGTAATAGTCAGATACTTTGTTCACTTTTTGTTCTTCTAGCACAAGAATTCAAAACAAAGTACAAAGTCGCACTTACCTAAAAGGTGAATGGGACCCACAACCAGAGTTTCACTCTCATGTTCAGACCCCACGTCTCTGGCCACTCGCTTGGTGCATCCGCGGCGGCAGCGGGAGTTGTAGTCGGAGGCTGGACATATTAGGACCTTGCACTGGAGGTACACGTCTTCTGTGGCCCGCAAGAACTGGAAGGCCTTAAATGTGAAACGAGCAAACGGGCTGGTGCCAGTAGTGTAGGCATAGTAGGTGTTATCTATTGGACAACTGAGAATGATAAAGAAAGAGATGTTACTGGAAAATACACGCATTACTGGTTTGTTTTTTGCTTACAAAAAGAGACCATTATTTAGATAAAGTGGTGGAACAATTAATTTATTATAAAATAATGTCCTTTTATGAGATCATTGTATCTTTTAAATTGTATCTGTGAAATCCTAATATTTAAAGTAACCATAGCTGGAGTATAAGCTACAGATATCTCAAAAGTATACTAAATTATAGTGCTTATTAAATATTGTACTTTTTTCAGTTATTTTCACTGGGAGTTTTAGTATTTACAACACAAATCCCTTTGTTCTTATTGTGGACAAAAACCAGTGTAGTTAGCGAATTAAACTGACCCGTGGAGGGCACTCATTATCTTACCCATTGCGAACCAAGTAGTAGGGTCTTGACTGGAAATCAAAGGCTGATGGTGATGCTATACAGGTGTCAATAAAGAGGACCAGACTGCTGTCACCTCTCCTCATATCGATTTCAATATACAAGTTCTGGTTTAGTGTTATCTCATATGGAAATTGAGTCACCTGAGCGTGAAAGAAAATTATCAGCATCATAAAACTATAACGATAGGAGTTTTCTCTCTAGTCAAACCTTCACTGCCCAAACACACCTGATAGTAGAAGCTGCTGGATTGGTAGAAAACCATGCTGGTATTGTATCTGCCTGTGCCCGTTATGGTGGTGTTCTCTAGTTCACGGACCTCGTACAAAATCTGAGATACCGAGTCTTCCTCCATTCGGCAGTTGACGTTTAGCTTAAAGTTAGACTGGCGTGTGATCTCACCGTAGTTGGAGTTGTAGGCACGAAGACTGTTTGTGTACACAATTTTGCCATTCTCAAACTGTTCAGGGAAGAAGATCAGTTGTTTTGAAAATTATAAAATACTGCTGTTAATGGGGGGGGTTTTTTGTTGTTTTTAGAAAGTTTTGGGGTTCCTACCTCTCTTGTGTTACCACAAGTGTTGAGAGGAAAACTGAAGACCACATTGTAATAGGAAATCTGGGGTCTGCAGTGTGGGTCGTTCAGGTACAGGCTGTGACCATCATAACCCAAACTGTTCAAGTAAGACTTCTCAATCACGATGTTCATGTTGTCTGAGGAGCAGTCCACTCGACCTGACAGCATGTTGTTAACAAGATTGGTACAGCAGCTTGAATTTTTTTCAGGGTTTGTCGGTCCTACATTTTGGTTCTTATTGAATTATTATTCAGCCACTTTTTACAGTATGAAAAATGGTACAGATATGCATGATGTTTTAAAAAAGAAAAAAGATATAATCAAAGAAGCAGAGGCCAAAATAGCCCGACTTTTACTTCCTAATAAGCGTACCTGAGCTTGGTGTCAAAGAGCTCGTGAACTCGGCGTTGAAACCTCGACCAACCATAGAACCGTCAGTCCGGAAGACCACAGTCATATAGTTGGAAGTGGAGAAGAAAGTGCTCAGACTGTTGTTGCAGACTTTGCCCAAAAATGGTGAATAAACATATGGCCCATCATAGATTTCAATGTAGTCGCAGGAACAGCAGTTTTCCAGCCTGTGTTTTTTTTAAACACAATAAAAGCCATAAATTAGAAATCAGCTTAAAAGTTGAAACATAGATCTAGATTTTAAAAAAAGAAGATCTGCATGTAACTTCTGTCTTCACATGATTGATCCATCTGTGCCTCACATAACAATGCTGCTCATTTTTCTATTTACTTACTGTAGGAATGTGAATTGCAGGAAGATTCTTTGGTCATATGCAGCTCTTAGTTGCCACATGCAGTAGGCATTGTCATGATAGTAGCTGGGATAGTTAGGGCTAGAGAAGGTGCCAGAGCCAAACAGATTGCCTCCACATGACCCTGTGGAATGTTAATAAAATAGCAAAAAGTGTCACTGCAATGACCAAAACTGCTCCAGACTAATTCTGCACATCGAGGACCCTACCTGTTGGCTCCCTAGTTGAGACTAAGCAGTAGGCTGTTTAAAGGGAGAAATGAAGGTTTTAGATACTTTCTTTTTAAGTAATATTGCAATAAATGTATGTTGAGATTGCTTGACCAGATACCCACAGTAGTAGTCGTAACAACAGTTTCCATAGTATTCACATGAGCTTGAGCAGGAACAGCTTCCCATGTAACTGCCACAGTTGTATCGACATGAGGGTTGAGCTGAGGGACACAGAAATCATTTCAGTAAGCTTTCTCGCCAGAGGCATTAACAGTTTCTGGTTTTACTCGAGGTCACTGAGGTTTTCGTACCTGTGGTAAAGTCAGGAGACTGGCAGTAATCTAGAAGAAGTGAAGAAAATAATTACAACATTAGATCAAGTTACTTACTGTCAGGAATTTACTTATTTTATGGGCATCATCGTAAGTTGATTTAAATAATACAGCAAATACAGTGAATTTTATAGCCATACACTATACTGTTGAGCAGGAACTGTGATCACCATTTGCAGTGACGTTCTCGTCTGAGCTTTACTTACAGTAGTAGTCATTGCAGCAATTTCCATAGTATTCACAAGAGCTTGAGCAGGAGCAGTTTCCGATGTTCCAGCCACAGTTGTATTGACATGAAGGCTGTTCTGTGGGGAGTAAAAGTGTGTTTGAATAATTGGTATGTTTAATTTTTTTTGTCATTCAGTCTGTTGAGAGATTGTCATACCTGTAACAGGCATGGTAGTGGGCATGTCAGTAGTCCATTGGCAGTATGCTACATGACAGAGGAAAGAAAATATTTTGACTTTTTGCCAGTTTAACCTTTTCTTACTTATTTAATGTGCTTGTTTAACAAACCGCTTATTCACATTATGTTAATATGAGCACTAATGAATTCAATGGGCTGAACACTTACAGTAGTAGTCATAACAGCAATTTCCATAGTATTCACAAGAGCTTGAGCAGGAGCAGCTTCCCATGCTCCAGCCACAGTTGTATCGACACGAAGGCTGAGCTAGAAAACACATGGCGACATAAGACTACAGGCAAATCATTAAATATCAAACTATTGATTTTTTAAAAATTAAGTAAGGGTTTGCACCTGTAACGTCAGGCCACGTAGTGGTTGATGAGCAGTAATCTATTTGACAGAAAGAAGAAAAGGTTTTCTAAATAAAACATAGTATTTAAATAATTGGGGATTATTGTGGATGTGGGAATTAGATACATAATTCCCACACTCTCCAAAAAATATAACAAAAA